TTTAAGTGAATAACATCTTTCTTTGTTGGTGTAAGCTTTACCTCAAACTCAAATATCATACTAAAATCCAAATTTGAGACTCAATTTGACATGAAACTTATAAGAGTTTTGAGTATCAGTGCATTACATAAGTTTATACTTAATGTAAGATGTCCAAATTTTTTATGCATTAGAAATGACATTAAACCTTAATAAGACTTCAAGTTTAAAGTGACTCGCTCTATTTTTGCAAGAAGAGCACTTACACAAAGGACCACTTTCATATACAAGGGAGTTCTTGTTCATTCAACGTCAATTATTATTGTATGGCAAAATCCTTAGTTCAACAGTAAATGGAACTCTCACCCTTTTTTTGTCAAAAACTATCACCCTTAAAAATAAGGAATTAGATCCCAATTTGGTGGCAACCGAAGTACCAAATTAATGTTCTTTTTTTGTGGGAAGACTGCTGTTTCTTGGAACCGCAACTTCCATAACACTGTTCATCACTACCATCGACACTAGTAACATCCACATCCACCCCAAGTGACCAAGGAGTGACATAAAAAAGAGTGAAGTCTTGAACTTCCCATTAGGGGTGGGCATAAAAATTGTGGAACCGCAAAATCGAATTGAACTAGTGACAAAATAAACCGTTAAAAATCGTGTTGATCAAAAAAGTCAATGTAGTTTCAAGAACCGGACCAAACCATTCATATCAGTTTCGGTTCTCATGTTGGTAGAACCACTTAAAACCAAACCAATCCGTGAATATAAATAGTTAACTAAATTTAGTAGTTGTATGCAGGTGTCACTAAATGAGTGGCTAAAATCAAACTGGTTTTGCTTAGTGCAAGTGCATGGGAGCATTTCTCAATTAGGTCTTTCGCTTTTATGGTTCACCTATTGAGATAAGGCACATATTTAAAAAACAAGAGGTCATTTTCTCTTCTAAATCTCCAAGTTTGACATTTAAGTTTTGATTTCATATTTTTCTTGGATAAAATGATCCTAAGGTGTTAAGTTACATCCTATTTTTTTTCTTCCCTTTTTCCTGGGTTTTTTCTTAATCTCTTGATAAGTCCCTTTTGAACTTAAATTATTGTATGCATACTAACATTCTTATGCATAGTGGATATATTTGTATGTGTGGATGTATATATATGTACATTTGAATCGTGTTTTTTTTGTTTGCTTGGTGCCAAGGACATTTACAATTTTAACAAACTATATCATCTACACTAAGGGGGAGGGTAGGCTTAGTCTCACAATGGATTAGCAATAATGTGGTTCAAATTTGCTTTTGACGAGAATCGAACCTAAGACTTCTCACTTACAAGCGAAAATGATATGCTTTGTTTGTAACTTTGTATAACCATTTTAAAAGTCGTATTTGAATGCAAGCATGCAAAAAACAAGTAAACTTTAAATACAATTTTGATTTGGTATTGAAATGATTTAATATTCGAAACCGTAAACTGGCATGAACCAAACTGAAACCGCTGTGAAACGAATCGTACAGCTTTATTAATAAATTTAAGTGGAATCACACCAAACCAAACCAGTTAATATTTCTCAGTTTCTATCTGGATTTGAGGATAAAACTGCACCGCACCGCACCGTGCTCAACCCTGCTTCCTATTTCTATTTCCACCACTCAAGACTGCAGCTTAAACAACGGACCAGGATCCTCTTGGAATCTTTTTTGTGCAGATCCGTCGCGCTAATGCATCTTGACTGTTGACGTAGATCGTGCGGCCATATTTTCTTTAATTTGTTACCTCCTTTATGCAAAACAAGATCTTTTTCTTCCTTTCTCACTTCAGCCTCACTTCTGCAACCTGCTTTGTTGCTCCTTCTCCCCATTCTCCCCCTTCTCCCAGATAAAAAATTGAAGTAACAATCAAAGAAAATGATGACTAGACGAAGTGGACACGGGAGAATTTTCGATTCCATATCACTCCTTTCATTAATTTTTTCTTTTTCTTCATTTATTTCGAGAAATAAAAGTTTGGCAATTGCCTTGAGGAAAGAACAAAACCTTGGTTCTTTATAAATTTGAAAATAAAAATTGGAGAGAACAAGAACGACATGGGAAAAAGTGGAAGAAATGAGAGAGCGGCGTTGCACCTATATCTTATTTGACAAAAGCGTAACCTGGGCCTCCGTCACCCCCGACGAGTTTGACCCCATCCCTAGTGGTGAAGGCGACCTAAAAGAATAGTGGTGACTGGTGAAGGCATATATTGCATCTTGTTCTCCCGTTTTTCCTTTACCCTTTGCCTCCCAATCTCGCAATCAGTGAATGAAAAAAGAGAATTTAGAACTTAGGATTTCTGCAGGTTGGAGGAAGAGGAAAGAAGAAGATATGGGTAGGCAAGTGTATCGTTCGGCGAGAAAGAAAACTAAAATAAATTCAAATAAATTCTTAGTCGTTCAGGATCCGCAAAGAAAGATCGGAAAGGATCTTGACCCCAGCGACACCATATGCCACATCGTTATCTATCTAGATTAACTCCCTTGGATGCATCCTTACCCTTGAACATATGTTGTAATAATTGATGCACATTGTCTTGGAAAATATAATCTTTAAGTTTATTTAATTGTTTGGGTTTGGGGTTAGTCCATCTGAATTAGGGATATTTTTAGGTTTTGCTCTCTATTAACATATCTGTCAGTTTAGTATGAGAAATAAGTTAGTCAACATGTAATCATAAGTTTGGAGTCGTATCGACAATCTTGTTTATTTGTTTTCCGTTTAATAAAATAATGTTTATACTTATAATTCGTTTGTCTGTTCGTCGGTTTATTTTCAACTTGGTATCATAGCAACTTTGATCCTTCGAAATTTAATCTGCTCTTAATGGGTACCAAGTTGTATATCAAATTGTTCGTATATATGTTTGCTGAGTATCAGTTTTTTTTTTTTCTGGTAATCAGGGTTTTGCCGTTGAAAAATGAGAGAAAGGTCTGTAGAAAAATTGAATCTAATGTAACAAAAATCTGAAGTTGAACCAAGCGGAGCCGAGCTGCAACGAATCCGCCTGCAACACCTTGCCTGAATCAACATCAACTGTCATAGTTAAGATAATAAGATGTCCAAATCTCTTGTGCCACCTCCAAGAAAAGCATACAACAGTAACTCTATTTGCCATCAAATGCTTCATACACTCAAATGTAAGTGGGAAGCACTTGTTTCCTTTCATTTATACAATGTCAGTATGACCCTGTAAATTCCTGTCTCCAAATATGCAGACCATGAAATCTCCAAATGGTAGCCAATATCCATGCTCAACCATTTCTCTTACACTAAGTAGGTTCTCGTCAAGACCAGGTACAATCATGACTTCTAGATGTACCTAGTGCCTTTCTTTGTCTCAACTATCAAGGTTCCTTTGCCAATTGATTCCACAAGATCGCTAGTGCTCATTTTGCACTATCGGCCCATGAGAACTGCTTTCCTAAGGTCCCCAAAATGAGGATGTGTGAGGTCTTTTCATATGTGTGCTCTCTAATTAATCTTGTAGTAAATTAGGCTATCTACTTAAATAATTCTTGTTACATGAAAACAAAATACTAATATATTGATCAAATGAATAAACAAAAAATAATAATAAGAAGAGAGAAGAAGGTTTCACGTCATGTAATCCATTCTATCTGCAAAACCTAGTCTACTCATCGAATATCTAAACCTAGCAAATCCAATTGCACAAAACCTCGATAACTTTATACATCCAATTTCACTCAACCCTTTATCAATAATATTCCAATCCAGTTAGTTACAAAGCACCAAAATTTTGAGATTGTGTGGTTTTGAAAGTTGGGATCCTTTCTTGAGCGCATGAACTCTTTTTTCATATGAAAATTTTCGACTACGATGAAAATTTTGAAACAGGTCTTTCTCCTTTTTGCGTATGCAAAAAAAAAAAAAAAAAAAAAAATCTTAGGAGGAGAGAAGGGGAGTGAACAATCAAGAGAGAGATGGATAGACGAAGGGGATGCGAAGGAGAAAGATGGCAGGGGAAGAAGACCAAATGTTTCACGCGAGATTTTTTAATTTAATCACTTGCATAATTATTGTGTTTCAGTGTAACAGTGATTATTTAAGTTGATAACTTAATTTACCATAAGATTAATCTAAAAATTCATATGAAAATGACCTCACAGGTCCTCAAAATGAGGACCTTAGGAGAACAGTTCTAATCGACATGTGTTTGGAGTCGTTAGATTAAAAGAAGATCACTCCTACAAAAAATCATTCAAATTCGAGGTCGTTTAATCATCTTAACTCATCAAATAAATGAACAGTTCATTGCGAATATATATTATTCGCAAGGAAGAATGAAGTCATCCCATAAGAAGGATTTCAAGTATTATCCATAAAATATAGTACATAGATAGCCAAAACTGAAGGCTGGTTTGGAGTTGCGTTGCTTCCGAAAAAAAAAAAAAATAGTTTATTAAAAAAATCTGGAACACCAAATGTGTTTGATAAAAAAAAAAAAAAAGTGTTTATTTTATGAAATAAAATAAAAAAAAAATTATTGTCAATGACAGTAGAAAAATAAAGTCTACTATGCTTCTAAAAAAATATTTTTTTTCAAAGCATTGTGAACAATGCCCATTTAATGAAAATTTCAAATGGCAAGTATACCCATGCATATTTTACAAAATTACAATATTTGCCCCTGCATTAATCTCTTTGATAATTATCATATCGCATTCAACACCACATCCTTTTTATTCATTAAACATATTAACAACATTTTTATTAAAGTTTATCAAACACTCAGACATTATTTTGTTTTGTTAAAGCACTTATACAAAAATAAATAAATAAATAAATTTAACAGACACTCAACAACTTTATTTTAGAGATGGTTATTCTCACTGCACAACAAAAATAATTTTTTTTCGAAAAAAACACAACACCAAACTAGCTCTAAATCGACTAAAACTTATCGATCATTTTGGTGGCCTAAGTATTTTTAATGAATTGTTAAACTTCTATAAATAGATCCATTATTGCAAGTACGATGCACTAAACTTACGTTGCTTGAAAAATATACTCAAAGCTCTCTGTGTACATGGCAACCTCCAATCCAAGTGTTTGTTTGAAGCTCCTCATCGACACAAAGGGTAAACGAGTTCTCTTTGCTGAAGCTGGCAAAGACTTTGTGGACTTTCTCCTTACAATACTGTCTTTGCCTCTTGGCACTGTCATCCGGCTCCTCTCCAAGGATGGCATGGTTGGCTCGTTAGGCAAGCTTTATGGCAGTGTCGAAAGCCTAAGCAGCACATACATGCAACCACACTTTAACAAGGAATCCCTTCTGAAACCTAAGGGAACTGCAACAATTGATGTTGGTGCTGATGTCCTTCATATGCTGACGACAGATGACTCCTCTGCTGAAAAGTCAATCTATGGTTGTCGTAATTGTTGTTGTAACTACAGCAGCCGGCCAATCGTTGTAACCGACGACCCTAAAGCCACTTGTCCGGATTGCCGTTCAAGCATAACTTACCCGGCGACTTTTGTCCATCGATCCCCTGCTGAAAGAACAACGTCCGGCGAGGGAGGGTATGTGAAAGGTGTTGTGACGTATATGATTATGGATGACCTGGAGGTGAAGCCTATGTCTACCATTTCAAGCGTAACCATGCTCAACACGTTCAATGTCAAGGATGTCGGTGCCCTTGAAGAGAAGGAGGTCCATCTTTCCATGGAAGAGGTCTGAAAAGTACCTAATCACACCCCTTTTTTTTTCTTTTCTCTCAATTTTGTGAGTCCATATTTTGCAGTCGACCTAATGTGTGATCTGAACCTTGTATGTAGGGTGTCAAATTGCTGAGGGTATCATTGCAGTCAAACTTGGTTCTGACCACCGTGTTCCTTGATAAGAATGAAGCGTGAACACCTCAACTTTATTTGCACTTCAACTGCAAGTATTATGGAATGAACAGTCTGAATTTTCTACGAGGTGTTTGTTTGTGTTTGTTTCTGAATGATATTTTGTTTTGCATACCTGGTAATGTAATGTACTTAATGACCTATGTAGTTTTGGGTTTCAAACTTTTTAGATGTTATGTAATCTTGGACTTTTGTGTGAAGATCCCTGTCTAGATCTACTGTACCTTTGGTTTTGGATTTGGACTATGTTTTGTTATGCATTGTTATTTTGGAAGTGATACTGTCTCATTTTGGATTGCAGTTCTTTTATGTTAAATTATCTTTTGATATAAATTATGTTCTCTTAGTCTGTAATCATATGGTTTTGCAGCTACACAATGCCCCTTTAAGTGCCGGACTATCATTCACCATACAATTGCTACAAAAATATTTAAATAAAGTTAGTCTTCCATCATTGTCCTTTGGAAAAAGAAAAGTAGTCGTATCAACGTCCAAGCTGATGCAAACAGTCTTGCTTTTCGTACAAATCCCACCACTACATGTTCACTTTCTTATTTACAAAGTTTGAAAAGAAAAGAAAAGAAAAGAAAAACACAATTTAATAATTCAACTGCAATAATGCAAAGTCTTTGCTTTTCGTACAAAGCTCATGCAAACTCATCAATTTAAATTAAAGCCACGACAACAAAGTAGAACAAGCGAGTGTGATATAACATCATATTTTTGTGATTTAAAGCATTCTTAATGCAAATTTTAGACCTATATTTTTATATTTAAATTTTTTAAAAATGCTAGTTTGGGTGTTGGAACCAAATTAGCGCATTGTCGTGAGTGGTGGAGGCAAAAATCCGAGTAACATGTAAAACAACAAACAACCGTGAGTAACAGCCTCAGATGTGAGGTGTGCTGGCCAAAGGCTATCCGATAGTCAAGTTAGTAAGCAAGTATAAGACTCAAGCAGTGGGGTAAGAGAATTAGAGTGCGATGATTGTGTTACCAGAAACAAACTCTAGATGAGTGTATTTATACCAGTCAGGAGAGAGACATTTTTAGGATAGAATCTTTGTGCTAAGCTGAGAGAATCCTAGAAGATATCTAAAAGTAGATATTGCTTCCTCTTTAGGAATGTGATTAGTTGTGGTGCACACCAACTTTTAGATTGGAGGAACTCTAAGATACATAGAGGATCTGTTGATTTCGTGCTGGATCAGACCCTGTTATCTTGCGGAACAAGAATGATCATTCTCGACGAAGTCACTTGGATTTCGTTCACTGCTCAGGAATAGGATGATGATGACACCAGCTTGAGTAAACCCTAATGCACAATCACTGCATTGTTTATTGCAGTTAGTTTTAAGAATCAAAACAAGAACATGCACACTAACCTGTAGGGGCAAGTGTTCTATACGGAAAATCACAATTTATACCGAGTGGAGGGACCAACCTTTTTGTCTATATCTTTTGGCAACTGCCTCCTCCCATTAAGGAGGTAGTGCCTTGTAGTTTGTTATCAATTATCTGCTTATTAAGTTCAAATTATACTTAATTAATGATATTTTCGGCCAATATGGTTATTTAATATCCAGACATTAAAACCCTAGTGAAGTCCTATAGTTATCATAACTCATCTTAGTTAGCTCATGCTTCTTACAATGTTTGATGAGCTCACATAAGGAACTCTACATTCTCGCACATGAGTGAGATCAAACATGCTCAACAGTATTGCATTTGCTTGGATAAAAGTGATCACTGAGTTACTTTAACTAATCGACTTCAACAATTAACCAAAACATCATACTTGCAGGACTCAAGAAATCATGATATCAAATTCTTGCATCAGTCCATAGTCACATACTCATACAATATATTGTAGATACTGTCATCGAGAAAACATAAATTGGGATCAAAATAGTATACTAATATGTAAACTCCCACATTTTTGGTCCAAATATATCATGAATATCTCATTCAAATTAACTTTGCAAAGATTTACTTCATATAATTAACATGTTCAGAAATTGTACATTGCATAATAGATGAAACAAATCAACTCAGTACATTTCTTAGCATATAATATAACAAAAAATAGTAAGGTTTTCATTCTTAAGTAAACTTACTCCCACATTAATAATGATCCAGTGAAGGCTGCAATCCCATTTTCAAGACATGTTTGTTGCAGACTATGACATTCAGGACTTAGTTAATGGATCTGCAATCGTGTCATGAGTATTGATGTGTTCAATCTATATGACTCCTTCCCTCACTTTGTCTTGCACCTTTAAATATTTGATGTCCATCAATTTCGAAGCCTCTGACCTCTTCTTGTTCTTTGCAAAGAAGACTGCTGCAGTGTTATCATAGAAAATCTTCACTGGTCTCTCTATACTTATTACAATTTTCATGTGATAGATCAAATTCTTCATCCAATTCCCTTGTCTCATTGCTTCAAAACATCCTATAGATTCTGATTCCATGATTAACACTGCCCTATTGCTTTTTACTTCTCCAATATATTGCCCCCTCCAACAAACATGAAAATGTAGCCACTAGTAGACATTCTTTCATCTACACAACCTCCCAAATCAGCATCAGTGTAACAAATGAATTTTAAGTTATCAACATGACTGTAACACAATACATACGGCTGTGTCTTCTTCAAGTACCTGAGAACTTTCTTCGAAACCTCCTAAAGGTTTCTTTTACTAATTTTCATTTTAAGGTTTTGATAAGTTGATATTATACTATATATTTTATCCTATACTTAGTGTTAATTTATTGTTATTTTGTGTGAACTTTGATACTTTGTTGTGTATTTTCAATATAGGACATTCGACTTCTTCTTAAGAAAAAAGTGACGAAACAGATGAATTTTCGAGTGATTCCAATTGGAAGATGTTCATGATCTTTCAAGATGATTGTGTTGAAGTTTCAGATTTTTCTACCATGCCGTTTGACCGTGACAATGAAATAAAGGCCCAGCTCGCATCTTTCCCATATTGACGTTTTTGGACGTTTTGAGTATTTTGAAGGTCAAGATGGCATATTTTGAGGAAGATTCCTTCTTAGTATGTATTGGGAACGACTTAAGCTTTCAAAAGAGACCTTTTGGGACCAATTAGGCGTTCATTTGGTCGGTTAAAAGTCTGATTTTTTTAGAAGTCCGACTTTCAGTTTAAATAGGAAACCTTTTATTTTCTAGTTACTTATTCTATTATGTTTCCTTGTTTTATTCTAAGACTTTTTTTAGGTAGGTTTTATTTTGTATTAGTATAAATAAGCTTTTTAGCTATTAGAGTTTGAAGAAAGGGAGATGGAGAACACTATACTTTGGCTTTAGAGAGCTTTTGACGATTCAAGTTTATTTTCAATGTATTTTCTATCTATGTTTTGAATAATATTTTGTTTTATGATTGTTAGTAACTAATTTCGTTTGCTAGGGTGAGGCCATGAACCGTAGCAAGAATATATGGTTTCTTTTCAATTTGCTTATGATATTATGCATGCAAGTTTTGAATTGTTAATCACCGTATTTGAAACTATCTAATTGTCTTGATGATTGGCCACCATTAGGATATTTAGAAAACTAATTTGATGCAATTTTGATGGAGGGTTGTCCCTAAAATTGACTAAGGTTTCTTGTGGTTAATATGTGTAATTTCTTAGGATAGACGACATGTCTTAATGGTTGCATGGTTTTTCAAAAAGTTTTCACAAAACTTATTAGTCTTGCATGTTCACATTCGATCTGGACATCACGAACGGGTTGCATGTTAGACATACGTTCTATGTTGGAGGTTCCAAGTAGAACATACTTTAGAAAAACCTAACCTTCAAAATATGCATTTGTAATTCATAAGTAATTAGAATGACTACACACGATTGTTAAAGTGATGGCAGAACCCTAGTGCTTAAATAGATTTTCAAAACTATTTTCTTTTCTTTTATGTACTTTGTCAATTTATTTAATTGTTTTTAATTTAATTCGTTTTTAATATTTTAGCTTATAAAATCATACTTTTTCAAACTTTGTTTTCAAATAATTGATTAAGATTTGGTTTTACATAAATTTTCATTCAATCCTTGTGGAAAATGATCTAGCTAGCACCAACTATACTACGATTACCTTATACTCTTGCAAGTATTTTAAATGTTTGTATCCCTACTTTTACAGGTGATAAAAATCTCCATCAAGAAATTGGCGCCGCTGCCAAGGATTGCTTTAAATAATTTGTGTTTATCATATTCTTAGTTAATTATTTTTAGATTACAATTTGTGCAACAATGGAATTTATTTCTCCTCCTGGATTCAATATACAACTAGGAGGACTACCCTTATGGGTCAACTCTGCAGAATGGAGTTTTTTATGGATTTAAACCTACAAATTGTGTACTTTGTTGTTTGATGACTCATGATATTTTGCAGTGTCCTCAGAGGAAATATTTTCCAAATTATGTCTAGGAGCATATCAATATGAGAAGCGATTCGAAAAGGAGTTGGAACAGTCCCTATTCAAAGTTCTACACTCTAAGTTTGAAAAAAAAACATCTTGAGCAGTATTTTGAGCAATTTAATGTGCCACAAAAGCTTTCGGTGGAGGACAAATTCTTTAAATTGTTGAAATCAACTGAGTTGTACATAGAAATAACTAATCAAGGATTTTAGATTCAAGCAGTAAACTGTGGGAGAAGCTATGATGATCAAGAGGTTGGTGTAGGAATCGAGGAGCCATCTGCCTGTTATTCACGCCCAAAGGAAAAAACAGCTGATCCTAAAATCCCGCCAGAATAGCTACCCAATTTTGTGTGCCACCAGCACCTTTTCCACAAAGGATGCAGGAAGACATCAGTATTAATGTGTTGGGGGAGTTTCATACAAATTCAGCATTAAGCATGTCACATGGTCAACTTTTCAGTCAACTAAACGATTTGGATACAGGGCAAATGGTTGTTGATGGGAAAATTTTAGTTGTTGTACTGGACAGTGCACCAACACAGCCGATCATACTTGACGATATTCGGTGCAGGTCATACAAGCAGACTCTGATCCATAAGGAAGCAAAGAGAAAG